TAATTTTATTCAGTCATTATCTTTTTAGTTTTCATAAACTAAATGTAAGGCAAAGATTTTTCATAGGTTAAGATTCCTGAGTGGTCTAAAGCGCTGCGTTCAGGTCGCTGTAAAATTCTGCAGGCGTTGTTTCGGATTCCACATTTGACAATTATATTTCATTCATTCAATTTTTTAAGTTCTCATTAATTAAATGAAAGGTAACACTCTCCCACACGTCAGGATGGCCGAGCGGTCTAATACGCTGCGTTCAGGTCGCAGTCCACTTCTGTGGGCGTGGGTTCGAATCCCACTTCTGACAATAAAATTTGATTCAGTGATTTTTTTAGTTCTCATAAATTAAATGTAAGGAAACGCTCTCGCTCGTGTCAGGATGGCCGAGCGGTCTGAGGCGCTGCAGTCAGGTCGCAGTACAATTGCGTGTTCGGGGGTCCAACTCCCACGTCGAGCAATTAAATTTAGTTGAGTTATTTTTTTTAGTTCTCATAAACTAAATTAAAGGAAACGTTTTCTCAAACTTCAGGATGGCCAAGCGGTCAAAGGCGCTGCGTTCATGTCGAAGTCCACTCGGTTTTGGCGTGGGTTCGAATCCCACTTCGGATAATGTAACTTTATTGAGTCATTATTTTTTTAGTTTTCATAAGCTAAATTTAAGGCAAAGATCTTTCATAGGTTAAGATTCCTGAGTGGTCTAAAGCGCTGCGTTCAGGTCGCAGTAAAATTCTGCAGGCGTGGTTTCGGATTCCACGTTTTACAATTATATTTCATTCATTCATTTTTTTAAGTTCTCATTAATTAAATGAAAGGAAACACTCTCCCACGTGTCAGGATGGCCGAGCGGTCTAAGGCGCTGCGTTCAGGTCGCAGTCCACTTGTGTGGGCGTGGGTTCGAATCCCACTTCTGACAATGTTTTTCTATTCAGTCATTTTTTGAGGTTAAAGAACTAAATGCAAGGGAAAGCTATTTTGCGTGTCAGTAGGGACGAGCGGTTTAAGGCGCTGCAATCAGTTCGTAGTCCACTTGCGTGTTCGTGGGTTCAAATCCCACTTCGGACAATGCATTTATTTCAGTCTTTTTTTGAGTTTTAAAAAACTACATGCAAGGGAATGCTATTCTGCGTGTCAGGATGGCCGAGCGGTCTAAGGCGCTGCGTTCAGGTCGCAGTCCAATTCTGTGGGCGTGGGTTCGAATCCCACTTCTGACAATAGAATTTTATTCAGTCATTTTTTTTTAGTTCTCATAACTTAAATATAAGGAAATGCTCTCGCACGTGTCAGGAAAGCCGAGTGGTCTAAGGCGCTGCATTTAGGTCGCAGTACACTTGCGCGTTCGCGGGTCAAACTCCCACGTCGAGCAATTATATTTAGTTGAGTTTTTTAGTTCTCATAAAGTAAATTAAAGGTTACGTTTTCTCAAATTTTTTGGATGGCCAAGCGGTCAAAGGCGCTACGTTCATGTCGAAGTCCACCCGGTTTTGGCGTGGGTTCGAATCCCACTTCTGATAATGTAATTTTATTGAGTCATTATTTTTTTAGTTTTCATAAACTAAATGTAAGGGAAAGATCTTTCACAGGTTAAGATTCCTGAGCGGTCTAAAGCGCTGCGTTTAAGTCGCAGTAAAATTCTGCAGGCGTGGTTTCGGATTCCACGTTTTAAAATTATATTTCATTCATTCATTTTTTTAAGTTCTCATTAATTAAATGAAAGGAAACACTCCCCCACGTGTCAGGATGGCCGAGCGGTCTAAGGCGCTGCGTTCAGGTCGCAGTCCACTTCTGTGGGCGTGGGTTCGAATCCCACTTCTGACAATAAAATTTTATTCACATACTTTTCTTAGGTTCCAAACACTAAATGTAAGGAAACTCTTTCACATGTCAGGAAGGCTGATCGGTGTAAGGCGCTGCGTTTAGATCACATTCCACTTCTGTGGGCGTGGGTTCGAATTCCACTTCTGACAATAAAATTTTATTCAGTCGTTTTTGTTTTAGTTCTCATAACTTAAATGTAAGGAAACGCTCTCGCATGTGTCAGGATGGCCGAGCGGTCTATGGCGCTGCAATCAGGTCGTAGTCCACTTGCGTGTTCGTGGGTTTGAATCCCACTTCGGACATTGTATTTCTTTGTCATTTTTTGAAATTTAAAAAACTACATGCAAGGGAAAGCTATTCTGCGTGTCAGGATGGCCGAGCGGTCTAAGATGCTGCAATAAGGTCCTAGTCCACTTGCGTGGGTTCGAATCCCACTTCTGACAATGTATTTCTTTCATTTATTTTTTGAGGTTAAAAACTACATGCAAGGGAAAGCTATTTTGCGTGTCAGGGAGGCCGAGCAGTCTACGGCGCTGCGTTCAGGTCGCAGTCCACTTCTGTGGGCGTGGGTTCGAATCCCACTTCTGACAATACAATTTTATTCAGTCATTTTTTTTTAGTTCTCATAACTTAAATGTAAGGAAATGCTCTCGCACGTGTCAGGATGGCCGAGTGGTCTAAGGCGCTGCAATCAGGTCGCAGTACACTTGCGCGTTCGCGGGTCAAACTCCCACGTCGAGCAATTATATTTAGTTGAGATTTTTTTTTTAGTTGTCATAAAGTAAATTAAAGGAAACGTTTTCTAAAATTTTTTGGATGGCCAAGCGGTCATAGGCGCTGCGTTCATGTCGAAGTCCACTCGGTTTTGGCGTGGGTTCGATTCCCACTTCGGATAATGTAATTTTATTGAGTCATTATTTTTTTAGTTTTCATAAGCTAAATTTAAGGCAAAGATCTTTCATAGGTTAAGATTCCTGAGTGGTCTAAAGCGCTGCGTTCAGGTCGCAGTAAAATTCTGCAGGCGTGGTTTCGGATTCCACGTTTTACAATTATATTTCATTCATTCATTTTTTTAAGTTCTCATTAATTAAATGAAAGGAAACACTCTCCCACGTGTCAGGATGGCCGAGCGATCTCAGGCGCTGCGTTCAGGTCGCAGTCCACTTGTGTGGGCGTGGGTTCGAATCCCACTTCTGAGAATGTATTTCTATGCAGTCATTTTTTGAGGTTAAAGAACTAAATGCAAGGGAAAGCTATTTTGCGTGTCAGGAGGGACGAGCGGTTTAAGGCGCTGCAATCAGGTCGTACTCCACTTGCGTGTTCGTGGGTTCGAATCCCACTTCGGACAATGTATTTATTTCAGTCATTTTTTGAGTTTAAAAACTACATGCAAGGGAAAGCTATTCTGCGTGTCAGGATGGCCGAGCGGTCTAAGGCGCTGCGTTCAGGTCGCAGACCAATTCTGTGGGCGTCTGTTCGAATCCCACTTCTGACAAAAAAATTTTATTCGCGTACTTTTCTTAGGTTCCAAAAACTAAATGAAAGGGAAAACTCTTTCACATGTCAGGATGGCCTATCGGTCTAAAGCGCTGCGTTTAGATCACATTCCACTCTCGTGACTAAATAGAATTTTACTTTCAGTCATTTTTTTTTAGTTCTCATAACTTAAATGTAAGAAAATGCCCTCGCACGTGTCAGGATGGCCGAGCGGTCTAAGGCGCTGCAATCAGGTCGCAGTACGCTTGCGTGTTTGGGGCTTCAACTCCCACGTCGAGCAATTATATTTAGTTATTTTTTTTAGTTCTCATAAAGTAAATTAAAGGAAACGTTTTCTCCAATTTACGAATGGCCAAGCGGTCAAAGGCGCTGCGTTCACGTCGAAGTCCACTCGGTTTTGGCGTGGGTTCGAATCCCACTTCTGATAATGTAAATTTATTCAGTCATTATTTTTTTAGTTCTCATAAACTAAATGTAAGGGAAAGATCTTTCACAGGTTAAGATTCCTGAGCGGTCTAAAGCACTGCGTTTAAGTCGCAGTAAAATTCTGCAGGCGTGGTTTCGGATTCCACGTTGGACAATTATATTTCATCTTATTCATTTTTTAAGCTATCATTAATTAAATGAAAGGAAACACTCTCCCACGTGTCAGGATGGCCGAGCGGTCTAGCGGCGCTGCGTTCAGGTCGCAGTCCACTTGTGTGGGCGTGGGGTTCTAATCCCACTTCTGACAATGTACTTCTATTTAGTCATTTTTTGAGGTTAAAGAACTAAATGCAAGGGAAAGCTATTTTTGCGTGCCAGGATGGCCCAGTGGTCTAAGGCGCTGCGTTCAGGTCGCAGTCCACTTCTGTGGGCGTGGGTTCGAATCCCACTTCTGACAATAAAATTTTATCTCACATACTTTTCTTAGGTTCCAAAAACTAAATGTAAGGGAAAACTCTTTCACATGTCAGGATGCCCGGATCGGTCTAAGGCGCTGTGTTTTGACTATGTTCCACCTTGTGGGCGGGGTTCGAATCCCACTTCTGACAGTAACATTATTCAGTCATCATTTTTTTTTAGTTCTCATAACTTAAATGTAAGGAAACGCTCTTGCACGTGTCAGGATGGCCGAGTGGTCTAAGGCGCTTTAATCAGGTCGCTGTCCACTTGTGTGGGCGTGGGTTCGAATCCCACTTCTGAAAATGTATTTCTTTCAGTCATTTTTTGTGGTTGAAAAACTTTATGCAAGGGAAAGCTATTTTGCGTGTCAGGATAACCGAGTGGTCTAAGGCGCTGCGTTCAGGTCGTAGTCCACTTGCGTGGGCGTTGGTTCAAATCCCACTTCTGACAATGTATTTCTTTCAGTCATTTTTTGTGGTTGAAAAACTTTATGCAAGGGAAAGCTATTTTGCGTGTCAGGATGGCCGAGCGGTCTAAGGCGCTGCGTTCAGGTCGTAGTCCACTTGCGTGGGCGTTGGTTCAAATCCCACTTCTGACAATGTATTTCTTTCAGTCATTTTTTGTGGTTGAAAAACTTTATGCAAGGGAAAGCTATTTTGCGTGTCAGGATGGCCGAGCGGTCTAAGGCGCTGCGTTCAGGTAGAAGTCCACTTCTGTGGGCGTGGGTTCTGAATCCCACTTCTGACAATGTATTTCTTTCAGTCATTTTTTGAGGTTAAAAACTATATGCAAGAGAAAGCTATTTTGCGTGTCAGATTTCGTAAGAGTGGTCTAAGGCGCTGCGTTCAGGTCGAAGTCCACTTCTGTGGGCGTGGGTTCGAATCCCACTTCTTGACAATGTATTTCTATTCAGTCAATTTTTGAGGTTAAAAACTTTATGCAAGGGAAAGCTATTTTTGCGTGTCAAGATGGTCGAGTGGCTCCAAGGCACTGCGTACAGGTCGCATCCACTTCTTGTGGGCGTGGGTTCGAATCCCACTTCTGACAATAAAATTTATTCACATACTTTTCTTAGGTTCCAAAAACTAAATGTAAGGGAAAACACTTTCACTTGTTAGGATGGCCGATCGGTCGAAGGCGCTGCGTTTTTATCACATTCCACCTTCTGTGGGCGTGGGTTCAAATCCCACTTCTGATAATGTAATTTTATACAGTCATTATTTTTTTAGTTTTCATAAACTAAATGTAAGGCAAAAAAGATCTTTCATAGGTTAAGATTTCAGAGTGGTCTAAAGCGCTGCGTTTAGGTCGCAGTAAAATTCTGCAGGCGTGGTTTCGGATTCCACGTTTGGCAATTATAATTCATTCATTCATTTTTTAGTTCTCATTAATTAAATGAAAGGAAACACACTCTCCCACGTGTCAGGATGGCCGAGCGGTCTAAGGCGATGCGTTCAGGTCGCAGTTCACTTTGCGTGGGCGTTGGTTCAAATCTCACTTCTGACAATGTATTTCTTTCAGTCATTTTTTGTGGTTGAAAAACTTATGTGCAAGGGAAAGCTATTTTGCGTGTCAGGATGGCCGAGCGGTCTAAGGCGCTGCGTTCAGGTCGTAGTCCACTTGGCGTGGGCGTTGGTTCAAATCCCACTTCTGAACAATGTATTTTTTCTTTAGTCATTTTTTTTTTAGTTCTCATAA